TAAAAAAAAGTGATTTTCCTTTTTGTGTTTTCCCATGGCATGTCTTGTTATATCTATATCTCTTAGTGATTTTGTGGGAATTGTTAGTCTCAACTCAAATGTCCTCAGAAGTTTCAATTATCAAAAACTAATCTAACTGAAACCTAATAGGGCCTGTTTATTCTTTCCATTTAGTTGCTTTGTCTTTCCTGGTCTGTAATAAGTTAGCTTTCAATGATTTCTGGTTCTTTTCTTGGAATTAAGCCATAGTCATTATATCTCCATTGTGTTGCTTCCTGCAGGAGCCCTTGCCTGTGTTGAACTGAAGAGATTTGAAGAAGCAATCACTTGGTGTGATAAGGGATTAGCTGTATCTTTTGAAGAAATGCTTTATTTTTAACTGTCGGTATAATGAAAATATTCCATAATTTGAGGTTTTATGGAAGAAAGTGCAAAGAAGGGTATTAATCATAGCACGCTAACAACACTCTCAGTGTTTCCAATATGCGCATATATTGATTTCAAACAATGAAGGGACACACTACCTTTCTCTTTGGTCAAGTTAGCACGCTTGGGCTTTGTTTTGGTTTTAAAAGCGTGATCGATGTCACGCTTAGCATATGATTTTAGGAACAGGCTACAACACGCTTAGCGTGTCCAATATGTGCATGTATTATTTTTACACAATGAAGGGACATACTATGTTTTGTTTTGGTTGAGTTGACACGCTTGGGCTTTGTTTTGGTTTTAAAAGCATGATCGACGTCACGCTTAGCGCGCAAGATAACACAGGTGTAACACACAAAAGTATAACGAAATTTTGCTAGATATTTCTTACATCTAAATTACTTCATCTTGACTCAATAGCATTCAATTGTTTAAAAACTGGTAAACAAATGTGTGTGACGAGTGATCTTATAACAAGCTCTGCGGGAATCTCCTGCCATGCTTTGTTGACCCACAGCAACACGAGTTCTTTGCTCGGCGCCCGCTTCTTACCAGATCGCGTGTAAGTGAAGAGTCCGTTCACCATCCAAGCCTGATATTGTGTTCTGACTCTGGTCTTAAAGGGCTTGTTTAGGCATTTGCACCCATTCTTTTGTTCCTAGAAAAGAAAGATAAAGAGAAAAGTATTTGAGTGAATTACCGTTAAGTCCAAACATAAGCGCTGAAATTATCAAACGGCGATCAAATGTAAACAAACTCCCCGACGAGCGAAGTCAAATTTGCATAGATATGATACATGCTCGAGAGCACGTGCTCAGTAATTTGATACGTTACAAAACGAAAGAAAATAAACAAGCGAAGAGATAAATACCTTCTTCATCCATACAGCCTTTTTTTGTGCGAGACCTGCATTCTCGGCGGTAGGTTAATTCTAAGCTGCCGGACGCCTTTAAAGATGACCTTTGGGGGAAGTTTCTCGCCATTCGCTTTTACTGCAAGTGCAACAGTAAAGCTCTGCTTGTCCGCCCCGCAAGTTGTGATCGGCACCGTCCGGTTCCCCGTAAACTCGAGCGTTCGTGTTGCTGGTAACTCGAACCGCATCGGTGTTTCATCCATGTTGATGATGTGGCTTAGCGGGTACTCACAGCGCCTCCGGGCTCTCACCACGAACTGGTGAAATATCACGATCTCATCCTCCATGTTAGCTGGTAGACGCTGGGCTAGAGTGGTCTTGGTTCGTATGGAAATGGAATGGCGGCGTTTCCAATCGTTGTACCATCCAAGTGATGCTTTGAACTCCGGATCGGTGCTGAGTTCCTTCCTCATGCCGTTCACTGAAAGACCTGGATACAAAACAAAAACGGCATCAATCAGTAAATGCAATGAACAAGAGATTCACCAGTACATGGGCATGGGATAACCAAAATAAATAATAACCGGAAGCACTTTTACTTCAGGCACAGTTGATCAAGTTCGGGATCTTTTGGTCGGTAACGGCCCATGGAAGCGCGCTTGGCTGTCATCTTCAGTTGCCTGAAAACAAGATGTCCTGCTGATTGTGCCACTTCCGATCTATTGATTCGAAAATTCCGTATTCCCTCGCTATCACTCGATTGTTGTTAACAGCTTCAGCTTCGGCTACGATTTCCAACTTGAAGATGAGATCGTAAGAATGACGGCGAGTGTTTTGCATGATTGTGCTGAATGTAGACTTCGCAAAATAATGTTCACCAGATGAAGTAAATTTGCAACTACTAATTTTGTTGATCGAATTGTTTTTATACTTTGAAACCATGTTTCCCGAGAGGGAAGGCTAAAATTAATATGTACCGATAGGTTGTCATTGAATGTGTGACTTTTTTTGCCTTTTGTTTATCACTGTGATTAAATGTGTGACATTTTCGGTTTTTGTTGATGTGTGAGACATTTTGCTTTAGTACAATCAAGGCTTTTGTTTGTGCGCGTAGTTGCGTGTGCGACAATTCTGCTTTTGTTAATACGCGACTTTTTCGCTTTTTTGTAAGTTTATGAAAGAATTTACAATAAACTTAACCGATCTTTACTCCCAAAACAACGGTGCGCCTTATAACCAAGTATTTTAGAGATATTTTCAGTTTGAAAGCATGCAAAATGAAGTTGCCGAATTGGGGGTGCGTCTTATAGCCGAGTGCGCCTTATAACCGAATAACTACGGTAATCAAAAGTTATACACCGTCACGTTATCGAAACGAAACAGAAGTTTTTAGTGTGTGTGCTAATTCCGAAAATCGTGATGGTTTTCGTAATTTTTCTACTTAATCGAGTTTCATGCACGTGACTAAGAGCATGACTAAGGGAAATTATTCGCTTGAGGTTCGTAGTGCTCTCGAAAACAAAGGGTTGTTGAACACAAAATTATTTCTCATTTGTGGTTTTGTTTACCATCCCCTAAAGATCGCTCTGGCCATCCGATGGAATATACTTTTACACAAACGTTTCGGCCGTTAACGGCTATATGTTGTAGAGACTTATGAATATCTTGGACATGTTGGGTTGTTCACGCGATCGTCGCAATTCGTCCCGGTACTGGGTTAGATTTTGTGTTTCAACATGCCACAAACATCATCAAAAGTAACCTCTCCACATGGAAAAAGTAATTGAAGCTTCTGCTTTAAACCCCAGCAACTCGTTCGCGGCCAAATGTTTCAACTTTGTTTTTTCTGATCAGGAAGCCGGTTGATAATTATAAACACCGATACGAGCTTCGGTTTTTACTGTAAGAATGACAGTACATTGTCTGTGTAATGATTACTCTAACTTTCGGTTACCATGCGTGCTGCACACTAAGTTACACGCCAGGTGCAGGCGACTGTAAAAATGGACTGTTATATGCTAATGTGACCAGAAAACTAATCTTTTTTGTTTTTTCTACATTTTTAAACCTTAACATAAAAAAAGATTGACAAAAATAATAGGATTTTGTTGTCAGTAAGACTTCTGTCTGTTAGAGAAGAGGGAAATCAGTCCATGGAGGAAAAGGATCCTATTAGCTACGACCATGGTAGTGCAAGTTCAGATGATGTTGAGAAAGTCATAAACTTCTATAATCTTGGCAATGCTTATTACAGTCTGGCTGATTTCAAAAAAGCCATAGAGTGCCACAATCTTTATCTTAAAATAGCTAAAGAAGTAGGAGACAAGAATGGGGAGGGTAATGCTTATAACAATCTTGTCAACGCTTATTACAGTCTGGGTGATTTCAAAACAGCCATAGAGTACCACAACCTACATCTTAAAATAGCTAAAGACGTAGGGAACAAGCATGGTGAGGGTAACGCTTATGGCAATCTTGGCAATGCTTTTTACCGTTTGGATGATGTAAAAAAAGCCATAGAGTACCACAACCTACATCTTAAAATTGCTAAAGAAGTAGGACACAAACATGGGATGGGTGAAGGTTATGGCAATCCTGGCATTGTGTATTGGAGTCTGGGTAATTACAAAAAAGCCATAGAGTACCACAACCTACATCTTAAAATAGCTAAAGAAGTAGGAGACAAGCATGGGGAGGGTAACGCTTATGGTAATCTTGGCAATGCTTATCTTAGTCTGGGTGATTTCAAAAAAGCCATAGAGTACTACAACCTACATCTTAAAATAGCTAAAGAAGTAGGGGACAAGCATGGTGAGGGTAACGCTTATGGTAATCTTGGCAATGCTTTTTATCAATTGGGTGATGTAACAAAAGCCATAGAATACCACAACCTACATCTTAAAATAGCTAAAGAAGTAGGGGACAAGCATGGTGAGGGTAACGCTTATGGCAATCTTGGCAAAGCTTTTTACCGTTTGGATGATGTAAAAAAAGCCATAGAGTGCCACATCCTACAACTTAATATAGCTAAAGAAGTAGGAGACAAGCATAGGGAGGGTAACGCTTATCGTAATCTTGGCAATGCCTATGACAGTCTGGGTGATGTAAAAAAAGCCATCGAGTACCACAACCTACATCTTAAAATAGCTAAAGAAGTAGGGGACAAGCGTGGTGAGGGTTGCGCTTATGGCAATCTTGGCAATGCTTATCACCATCTGGGTAATTTCAAAAAAGCCATAGAGTACCACAACCTAGGTCTTAAAATAGCTAAAGAAGTAGGGGACAAGCATTGGGAGGGTGGTGCTTATGGCAATCTTGGCAATGCTTATCACTGTTTGGGTGATGTAGAAAAAGCCATAGAGTACCACAACCTACATCTTAAAATAGCTAAAGAAGTAGGGGACAAGCGTGGTGAGGGTTACGCTTATGGCAATCTTGGCAATGCCTATCACAGTCTGGGTGATGTCAAAAAAGCCATAGAGTACTACTACCTACATCTTAAAATAGCTAAAGAAGTAGGGTACAAGCATGGGGAGGGTGGTACTTATGGCAATCTTGGCAATGCTTATCACCGTCTGGGTGATTTCAAAAAAGCCATAGAGTACCACAACCTACATCTTAAAATAGCTAAAGAAGTAGGAGACAAGCATGGGGAGGGTAACGCTTATGGCAATCTTGGCAATGCTTATCACCGTCTGGGTGATTTCAAAAAAGCCATAGAGTACCACAACCTACATCTTAAAATAGCTAAAGAGGTAGGAGACAAGCATGGGGAGGGTAACGCTTATGGCAATCTTGGCAATGCTTTTTACCGTTTGGGTGATGTAGAAAAATCCATAGAGTACCACAACCTACATCTTAAAATAGCTAAAGAAGTAGGGGACAAGCGTGGTGAGGGTTACGCTTATGGCAATCTTGGCAATGCCTATGACAGTCTGGGTGATGTCAAAAAAGCCATAGAGTACCACAACTTACATCTTAAAATAGCTAAAGAAGTAGGGGACAAGTATGGTGAGGGCAACGCTTATGGCAATCTTGGCAATGCTTTTTACCGTTTGGGTGATGTAAAGAAAGCCATAGATTACCACAACCTACATCTTAAAATAGCTAAAGAAGTAGGGGACAAGCATGGGGAGGGTAACGCTTATGAGAATCTTGGCAAAGTGTATAGGAGTATGGGTGAGTTAAAAAAAGCCAAAGAGTACCACAACCTACATCTTAAAATAACTGAAGAAGTAGGAGACAAGCGTTGGGCAAGCAAAACTTATGGTAATCTTGGCAATGTACTTCAGAGTCTGGGTGATTTCAAAAAGCCATGAAGTACCGCAAACTCTGGATCTTAAAAAGCTAAAGAAGTAGGAGATGAGCATGGGGAGGGAAGTGCTTAGGACACTCTTGGCAATTTGTACTGGAGTCTGTGGGGATTTTAAAAAAGCCCTTGTGTTTTACAACCTACACCTTAAAATAGCTAAAGAAGTAGGAGACAAGCATAGGAAGAGGGGTGCTCATGGCAATCTTGGCAATGTGTATCGGAGTCTGGGTGATTTTAAAAAAAGCCCTAGAGTATTTCAACCCAGATCTCAAAATAACTAAAGAAGTAGGAGACAAGCATGGGGAGGGTGGTGCGTATGGTAATCTTAGCAATGTGTATCGAACTCTGGGAGATTTGATGAAGGTTAACATATCATACAACCTAATGGTGAAAATTGCCATAGAGTTCGAAGACAAATCCTCAGAGGTTATGGCCTGCTATTCATTACCTAGGATGCGTTTTTTGAGTCGCTGAATGGACTGCCCAAAGCCGTCGAATATCACGAAGCTTGCATAACCTTATTCAATTCCTTTAGAGTAATTCTAAAATCTAAAGATGAGTGGAAAGTTGATTTTCGAATTCAGTATCAATTGGCTTATACGGGTTTGTGGAGAGTTCTCGTAGAACAAGGTAATATAGATGCAGCCTTACTTACTGCTGAAAAAGGACGAGCTCAAGCTCTGACCGACCTCATAAAATCCAGTTTTGATAATACCTCTCCTAGATTTAAGACATACTGTAATGCAGCTTTTTTAGAAGAAATTTTTTGTAAAATCAATCTTAATT